CCTGAAGATCTTACAGTCTAAACAGACTAGACAGGCCAAAGGGAGGATCATTATCCCCATTTTTACAGATGGTGGAACTGACACAAAGATTAAATGACCTGCCCAAGGTCACATATGAGTCTATGACAGTGCTGGGAACCACATGCAGATTTCCTGGGTCCCAGCTCATTGACTTAATTACCAAATTAGCTGACAACACACTGACTAATTTCGGGAGAGTAGCATCCAGCCCCAAAATTTCAGCAAATCTCCCAGTGATGGCACAACGGGGAATCTGGACCAATGGAGGTCTTCAGGGCTGAATCCTTGATGAATTTGGTGAAAGGCACCAAACTGACAACCCTGGAGACACAAGTCCTCCACCCGCAGGTGTATCACAGGCTGTGGCGGCTCAAACTTCCCCATCTGCCTGGACCCAGACTGGAGGGACCACATCTAAGGGTCCGAGATTAATCGTCTCCACGGATCATTCAGTCCTAGGCTTCTAGACGGCAGCAATGGACCAGATTGTCATTTGGACACGTGTCCATTAGGCTCTGCGTAGATTCCACCAACTCAAGTCACACAGCAGCCACTAAGCAGCCACCACAGTGCCTGGTTGGAACAGCTGGACCAGGGACGTAGAGGCAGAGCTCTGTATTTCATCACCAATCTCCAGGGGTTAGCTCGCCATCGTCACTCTTGCTCTTCCTCTGGTGAGGCTTCTTAGCTGTGCACAGGAAATGTTTCAGAGTCCTGAGGAGGCTGGAAAGAAGAACAGAAAACCACTTCCGGGTGCTGCTTCCCTACACAGCGAGGACCTGATTCTTGTCTCGCTCGCTGACGCTGCTGTGAATCAGGAATAGCTCCACTGAGTTCCGCTGGCGCGGCGTTCGTGTAAACCAGAGGAGACTCTGCTGGCGAGGCATTCATGTAAACCAGAGGCGAATCAGGTCCAAGTTGAGCCTGTGCAATCTCCACAGTGGCTCACGCAAGCTTAGAGCGACTCAGAATCTGATCCTGGTTGCAGTCAGTGAGGGATGAGCAGTGACTGCCACCCACGATGTAAATAAATGACAAACCGCTAAGGACAGACCTTCCCCCCACCCAACTTCCCTAAACTCAGGTGGCAAAAGGAGAGCGAATAGGAAGGGGGCAGAGAAAATGTGCATACCTGGGGCAAATCACGAGACTAAATAAACCCTCCATCGGCGCCTAGCTGTAGGCAGTAAATCCTGAAGGCTACATCTACACGGCAGTCAGTGGATGTGATCGCAGCACACGGATCAGAGCCAGCCTTGATCTTGCCAACGCCTTAAAACCAGCCATGGAGCCAGAATGACGGGGCGGTGGAACAGGCTTTGCCACCCTAGTACTGTACCTACCCAGGGTTCCAGGGGGGCCCGTTTTAATGGGGTCGCCAGGGCTGGCGTTAGACTTGCAGAGGCCCAGGGCTGAAGCCTGAGACCCACCACTCAGGGCCGAGAGCTTCAGCCCTGGGTAGCAAGGCTCAGTTTACCAGCCTGGGACTGAAGCCCTTGGGCTTCGGCTTTCGCCTCCCGACCCGGGGTGGTGAGGCTCAGTCTCGGGCTTTGACTTTGTCTCCCCACCCGGGACAGCGGGGCTCAGGCAGGCTCAGGCTTCGGTCCCCCCCCTCCGGGGTCGTGTAGTAATTTTTGTTGTCAGAAGGGGGTCGCGGTGCAATGAAGTTGGGGAACCCCTGTACGAGCCCATGCTGCCGCAGCTACGCAACTATTTCTAGCAAGCTGACTTGATCAACTAGCTCTGATACATGTGATGCTCTCACATGCACTGTAGACATCCCATCAGGGCCAAACCATCTGTAGAGAGGTTAGCCGGGGCTTGTCTCTCTCCGGGGCGGCGGGGAACCACACTGCCCCACTACACCATCCTGTTGACTTTAATGGAGTATAGACTGTCCAGACGCTGAGTGTGTGACTGCAATCAACGACCTGGGCACGGCCGCGGCTGGCTCAGGCTCACAGAATTGCAGTGGAGATGTTTGGGCTCAGGCTGGAGCCAGGACTCTGAGGTCTTCCCCCCTCGCAGGGTCCCAGAGCCCAGGCTCCAGCCCGACCCCGAACGTCTACACAGCAATTTTACAGCCCCGCAGCCCAAGCCTTGCAAGCCCCCGTCAGCTGTGCCAGGCCAGCCGCGGCCAGGCCACGTGACTTTTATTCCAGTGTAGATGTACCCTAAGGGTCAGATTCTGATGTCTCTTACTCATATTAGATAGCATCTTACACCATGAATGGCTTTAAAGGTACCACTCAACCGGAGCAAGAGTACAGAATGTGGCCCAACAAACTACTTCCAGAGCAAAGTCAGAGTCTGGGGCTGTTTCTTAAAGCCCCAGCTCCTGGAGTCTGGTGATTAAGTGAGAATTTCAGCTTTCCTTTAAAAATAAAAGTACGTTTCTAGCTTGAAGTCGTGACCCTGTAAAGGCTACAACACTAGAGGGCCCACAGAAAGAGCCCCAAATTTATTATTTAAAAAAAAATATTATGATTTCTAAGCCATTCTCGTGATTTTTGGGGGCTTGACTCAGGATTTTTAACACTCCCTGTTGGCAGTACTGTGAGGTGGCACACACCGAGTGAGGGATCAGAATCTGGTTCGAAATGGTTAGTGCATCGCTCCTGCAACTCGATCCCTAACTGAGACAGGCGTTTTCCCTGCCTGCCACAGCCAGCCTGGACTAGAGCCAACACACAGTAAAGCCGACCCTGGGCTCTGGTTCCTCCGTGCCTGTCTGTCCAGCTAGATTAGTCTCTGGGGGTTTCCACATCTGTCAGTCCCATGCTGTCAGGGTGAGCAGCTGTTTCCTACCCAGAGTCACAGGACAGCAGAAGAAGAGCTAAAGGCACCACTTAGGCTTCATCTTTTTAGCTTTAAGTGTAACAGCGAAAAACGACACAATCCCAAGCTGTTCCTTTATGTGGGAGGAGCAGGGTCCTAGGGACCATTATTGTTATTTATTATTGGCCTGGCCTGCATCTCAGACCTGGTCTCCTTTCCCATTCCCTCCCCGCTCTGGCAGCAGCACCAGTCCCCATACCTTCCCCCCTCCCCTTTATTTTCTTCTCCCAGGCATCTCCGTGTTTTCCTCTATGCCCTTCCTACCCTGCGCCATCACGAGACAGCCTTGGTTCTCCACTGCACCCCATCATGGCTCACAGAATGGGACTCCCCTGGGATGTGGAAGACATGGGCTCAATCCCCCCCCCCCAGCCCCCCGATGTGGGGAGGAAGAGATTTTAACTTGGGTCACACACCCCCATTGCTGGAGAGCGCACTGACCACTGGGCTATAGGATATTCTAGGGGGGGGAGGGGCTGTCTCAATCTCTCCTCTTGAAGTTGATCCACTTTGTACAGCTAATTAAATATTTACTGGAGCAGGGAGCTGAGCTGGGGTCTCTCACATCCCAGCTGAGTGCCCTAACCACGGGGCGGAAGCTTACAAGGTAAATTCCTGCCTTTCCTGCTTAAAACGCCTGAAAGTCAAAACAAATTCTTTCATGATAAAATGTTTCATTTCGTTTCCAAAACGTTTCCAATTTTTCAGTTCAGTCAAAACTCTCCCGCGAACTTGACAGGAATAGCTTCAGTCAGCCTGCAACTGCAGCTAATGGCAACTAAACTATTCATCCAAAAAGTTTCACCCGCTCTAGTTATCATGTCACCTTTTGGCTTGTCCTTTTCCCTTCCCCCTACTGCCCACCTCAGTTTCTTTTTGTGTGTTTATGATCCCTAATTGTTGTGTCGTCTCACACTCACAAAGTGGTACTGCATCTGCCTCTCGCGGCTGGTTTGCAGAGAGGATAAAAGCCCACTGCTGCTTCCAGAAATGGAGTGACGCCTTCAGCTTGAGTGGTCAAGGCCTGTGCAAAGCTCTGTGTTCAAATCCTGTTGCATGTCATTCCATCAGGCTGAATTGAGATAGGCTCTTTAGGGCAGGAAACATGCGCCTGGTTTTCCCCAGCCCTGAACTTTGTATAATCATTCGCATCAGTACAAAGTGGATATAAAATGCTACTGTCTCCATTTCAGGGTAACTGTACCTGTGTGGTCACCCAAGGGCACCCATTTAACGGTTTCCGGCTCCCAGCTGTCACCTCTCTTGGGTGGAGACCTGCCTGTTTCTTCCTGTGATATCCCCACCCAGCCAGTCTGCCTAGCAGCCAGCCCCAGGGTGTTGCTTTCTCTTCCAGGGCTATGAACAGGGCATTGCCAATGGATAGGTGTTACCACACAGCTCCTTCTAAGCAAGCACATTTATTCTTAAGGTAAAAGCATTACAGAGAAAGCATATAAGACAATCAAAGAACCCCCGCTCCAACCTCTGGCGCTGGTAGGTGTCAGTCCTTCAAAGCCCACAGCTGGGTTTTCCCTGTTCTTACAAGTTGACATCAACCATTAAATCAGGAACCAGAACAAAGGCCCCGAGTCAGTTCAAGCTCGGGCTATTTATCGAAAAGGCCTCTTTTTGTCAGTTGGTCTCTGGAGAATCGAGTTTGAACCAGACCATGAGAGTCTCACCGGGGATAGTATCTCTCTGGAGGTGTTACAACCTGAGCGATTTCCTGTTTTCATTTCCTGGAGGAGCTGTGGTAACCCTTCCCTCATGGAGTGCATACAATCCCTGCCCCCCCATGATACATAAATCATTCATACACTTAATACAATGTGGTCTCCGAAAGATAGTACAGGACATTGCCCTGTCTGTGGGACAGGGGAGGGGGAGCTTGGCTGCTGGCGGAGCCTGCCCTGCTGCCGCAGGAGCCCCAGGAGCCGGCAGCACCAAGCTTCTGCCCACGCAGGAGAGAGCGGGGGGTGGAGAAGAGCGGCTGGGGCCCCTTTGGACCGTGGGCCGGGCGCCATGGCAAATCCGGTTCTGTATTTCATAGGGCTTGGGGGTGAGGAAATTAATTTGTCCTTAACAGGGGTTTATGCTCAATCTGTTTCCTAAAGCCCCTTTTATTCCCTTTAAACATGCAGGATCCTCCAGAGCAAAGGCAGGCGCGATGGAGCTGAGCCGGATTCTGGGGGACAACGTCACTTTCCCTCTGGGGATCCCAGCAGAGCAACTTATAACTGTTGCCTGGACAGTAAACACAACAAGGAGTATAGTAACTGTAGCAGCAGGAAACCCCCCCAATGTCATTGTGACAGACCTATCCTACAAGGGACGCCTGAGAGTCCCCGAGAACTACTCGCTTCAGATCACCAACCTGAGGATGGAGGACACGGGCACCTACAGAGCTCAAATCACCACAGCTACAGGCACCATCCCCAGACCCTTCCTGCTGCGTGTGTACAGTAAGTGTGGGGCCGATTTTTTTTTACTTTCTGTTAATTGTAACATTCAACAATGTACAAATTACACATTGAGCATTTTACATAGAATATTAAACTTCGATATGACAAATTCTGCAGGCAGGATTCTCAGTGACACCGACACCCCTTTGTGCTGCCAGAGCGCCATAAAGGGCATTTGTGTAATACGAACCAGGTCCCGTGGAGATTTGCACACTAGGCTTGTGAGTCTCCTATTAACACCAGTGCAAATCACGAGTACCTCCACCAAAGTCAATCGAGTTACATCACTGTAAAGCTGGTGAGCCACATGAGAGGAAATTCAGGCTCTAGAAATAGTCAGACGGGCAGACGGCACCAAGGGGCCTGCATTAAGGCAATACTGCAGTACTTAAAGACGAACCTCCACTCTCTGGCCTGAATTCTCACTTACACTGTTAGCCAATACACATATGTCAGGCGCAGCGCACCCCACATTAATATAGTATTATACACAGCATATGGGCAGCCATATTAACCAAATTACATTAGGCCTTTCCCACAATGCTGTTCACTTCTGCTCATGCTAAGGTAATACCCATAAGGCTTTGCAAAGCCGAAGTCAGCTTTGGCACTGGCAGATACAAAACCTGTCAAAGGCAAGTTGCATGAATGGTGTGTCCTCATACAGATTGGGATGTACCTCCATGGCCCAACTGGTACTTGGAATGTGGTATCCAAAACAAACGATAAGGAAATACAGGTGGATACAAGAAAACGAGACAAAAAGCTGATTGGTGGGTTAAGTCTCGGGGAAGGTGCTCTCTAACTTGGAAACAACCATATTATAAATATAGCTCTAGTGTAGTTTAACTGCATATTTTCGGAGCACACCTTCTGCGTAAGGTGAAGTAAACACTGCAGGAATTGCTTCCCAAAAGGATTGGTAAAATATTAACTCTTTCCTACTGCTGTGTCTTGCATTAATAAAATTTGGCTAAGCTTGGTTAGTTGGTCTCTCAAACATTCTTAATAACAAACCGCAAGTGTGGCCACACAACTGGCTTATCGTTTAGACAATACTACTAAGGCTGCCTTACTCTGCTCTGACCATTGTAAATGAACCTTAAACTGGGCTTCAATTACAGTTGCACCCACTTTCAGGTGTTTTTACACTGCCAGAGCCATGTAAAGGGACCTTATTTATACTAAGTTCCTGCCCTTCTGTGTAAAGTTTTTTTTAAAGCTTAATGAAACTTGCAGAGTTTGAAATCCTGTTGCAAACTGAACTGGAATGGGTTTTCTCACAGCCCCCAGACTTTTTCAACTGCAATAATAATGTTTAGCTTAATAACATAAGAACAGCTGGTCCAAATTTTACAACAGAAATTTCTTTTGGTAGAAAAATAAGGTTCTAAAATATGCAATGTTTCGCTTAAACAGTTTGATTTTGACAAAATGTTTAGTTTTTCAACCAAAAGAATCAAAATGAAATGAAAATATTTTCACAGGAAATTAAAATCTCAATTTTTTTTTGAAAGCCAAAACAAACATTACAATTTGAAACAAAATGACCTAAACCTGCCCTTCAGAGCATAATACCTGGAAACACCAGAGCTTGCCTGGTGCATTCTTCTCTGCTTTCCCCCAGCTCAGGCTGTACATAGAAACCAAGTTTTGTGCACCACCATGTGTGACATTTAATGCAAATTATTCAATGAGCTAATTTGCACATTTGCAAACAATTTGCATGTACATTATAATCATAAATATCAGCTTAAAAGTCTGCCCTGGATTGAGTGCCGGGGAAAGGCATCAGTCTTTAAGTACATGATCCGATATTACTGTTTCCCTGAATGGATTTTCAGCAGGGTTTGAACCCGGGAGTTCCACAGAACCATAGTAACAAGTAGAAGAAGTACTGTATGTTGTTATCCTTTATGTGGACCAGTTCCTTGGGGTGTAGGGGAATTTAATAAAACACATTTTGCTAGTGAGTTACAAAATTATTTGTGTTTCTGCATTTAAGGAATAAGATTCCAGGGTTTTATTCCTCTCTCTGGGAGAAAAGTACTGTCAAGTGATTACAGCAGGATACAATCAACATAACCGAGCACATAATTTGGCCCATTCATTCTGAAAGGCAGTGTGGCAAAGTGAATGGTACTTGGCTCTGTTATATTAGAAACCTGGCTTCTATTTCCATCTCTGCTGGAAATGACATTGTGCAACTTCTCAATTATATTATCCGTGAAATGGATCCCCTAATGCGATGCCTTGGCTAATAATAAAGGATGCGAAGTGCACAGAAATATTAACCCTCAGTAGAAGATTTCCAGAATGTGGATATTTCTGAATAGTAAAGGCTCCTGAATACAAATATCATCTGAATACAAATATCATATTCTACACACATCTGTACTGGGTGATTCCATCTCTTGGGTCATTTAAATCTGGCCCAGCCCGGCTGCTGGAGCTGCAGGGGGGATTTAAAGGGCCCGGAGCTCCATGGTGGCTGGAGCCCCGGGCCCTTTAATTTGCCCCTGAGCCCCGAGGGCTCCCAGCCACCTCTGCAGCTGGGAGCCCCGGGGTGATTTAAAGGCCCTGGGGCTCCCAGCCACAGCCGGTGCCCCAGGGCCTTTAAATCTTGAGAAGCCACGCCTCTTCCGGTTGAGGCCCCGCCTTTTCCGGGCGAGGCCACGCCCCTGCTCAGGACTCCGGCTGTACCAGTAAGTCCTGTAAGTTACTTTCACCCCTGCCAGGATGTGACCTAATAGGTCTTTTTCCTTTCACTCTATAATGATGCTTCTGCTTTCTTGGTAATTTTGGGCAGATGCTTGTAAAAACCTGAAGTGATTTTTCATCAGATTAGTGTTCTCACATTTGGGTTTCTTCTCTCCACCCCTCGCAGAGCAAGTACCAGAGCCAACTGTCGTCTGTGACTCAGGGCCCTGTGTGAATGAAACCTGTAACTACAACCTGCGCTGCACTGTCAGGGATGGAGGGGACAATGTGACCTACAGCTGGACTCACACAGCAGGGGGCACTGTTGTACCCGATGAGTCCATTCTGCACATCTCTCTGAGCCCCCGTGATGCTCACCTGGCCGTCACCTGCACAGCCCAGAACCCCGCCAGTAACAGCTCCACAACGGCCTCTGCAAAGGACCTTTGTGCAGGTAACTCCCTCTGCAGGAAAGACTCCTGTTTAAAACAAAAACAAACCATGAACGTCTATAGAAGCTAACGGACCCGCTCCTGTCAATCTGCCACGGGCTGATCTCCAGGTCACTGGTAGGATCAGGCTCATAACAGTGATAGTTTTATAGCACTGCTTGTGTTACAGGAGAGCACAGAGAACATTTAGCTGAGAACCGAATTGTATCCTACCAGGCACAACTGTATAAGAGCTTCCTTAACAGGGAGTTAAAAAAGCAAAACCCAGCAGTCTTTTCAGTTAGTAATGGCTGAACCTAGCAGAATTGGAAGGCCCAATATGGGATAAGCACAGCAAGACCCAGAAGTTCAGCTGCTTATCAAAGGTTATCCAAACCTTTTTGGTTCAAGGCTAGAAATGTTGAGATTCAAGCCATGGCACAACATTTCTGGCAGTTCTAGGTCCTGGCTGGGTTATAAACATCACCAGACTGGCATTTTTTGGTGATATTTAGTAAAGCTGCTCATGAATCGTTCGCCAAAATCGTTTTAACTGAAAATGCAGTTGCTGCTAAAACTGAAATTTTGCACAGGAAAATTTTGATTTTGCCAAAAAGATTGATTTTTCTGTTAGGAAAATCTAAATGAAATATTTTTTTTCTGGTCAGTTCAGTGTTAAACTACATCTGCCTTAGGTGCTGTGGTACCTCAAAGGAGTTTTAGTTTGTGTGCTTCATGGGCCCCATTCTCTCCTATGCGCCACACTCATTGTCTGGACTTCATCTCCCATGATGCACTGTGGCATCCCCTCTGATTGATCTGGCTTGGCTGTGGTGCATCTTGGGAGATGTAGTCCAAGCAGGGAACCTGACCCATCATGAAAAGCTGAGGGTGGGAAGCATCAAAACTACAACTCCCAGGAGGCAGCGCGGCAACATAGTTAGAGGCCATTTAATATCAAACGGATCCATATGAAAATGTGATTCAGGAAATGTCTAAATGTCTCATTGCGATTAAAAATGTCACACAACTTCATTTTGACATTTCCGAATTGAATTTTTTTGTTCAGTGAAAAGCTTCAGTATTTGGACTTGTCGTGATAATTTGGGATGAAAACAAATGTCAACATTTTGGAAAATCACGTGGGATGGAAATTTTTGCTCAACTTTAATGTTTAGGCATTTCCAGAAGGAGCAGGGATCTCCGTCCTCCTGCTCCTTCTCCAGGGAGTGGGAGAGAACTCATCAAGCAGGGGAACTGGGAGCGGGGGTAGTAGGAGAAGCTGGTGCCTGGCTGGGGAAGTTTTGAGGTCCCCGAGTCATCCCCCCAGTAGCTGGAGCAGCCCCAACACCTGATGGGAGAAGCAGAAGAGTCTAGGGGGCTGGGAGTTCCCCTACTTGCCTCTTTCACCTGCAGGAAGATCTGTCCCTTTTCTACCAGGGTGGGTGGAAAAAGGAAGAATAAACTCCAACTGCCCTTCCCCCCAGGGGAAGTGACAGACTCGAACGCTGGTTTCTCCTCTAGCCAAAATCCAGAGGAAAGAGAATTAATCTATCAGTTCCCTCCCGCTTCCTGGTACCCCATGATGGGGGGTGTGGGTGGAGAGGGGATGGGGGGTGGTTGGGCCCACAAGGGATATTACTCATGCACACACACATGCTTTTCCTTGGCATTGGGTCTGCGTTGGGAACATGGTGTCTTTCCAGATACACTTATTCCCTTGTCCCCATTCTCTTCCCTATGCTGTATTCCATCACGCACATTGCAACAACGCCACTTTACCACATGACGTCAGCACCCACAACAACCACCACCACTGGTGAGCCACTCTTACCGTCTTGTCTGCTTTTAATTGCCAGCTAATTACTGTCTCGGGGGGCTAGATCCAGTGCTGCCAACTCTCACCATTTTATTGTGATATTTAGTGTTTTTCTTCAAGCCCCAGCTCCGGGAATCATGGGATTACATAAGAATCACAGATTTCATGGGGAGGTGGGGGAGACCTAAGTTTCTAGTCCTTGTGGTTATAGACCCCTAAGGGCTCAATAAACAGAAGAAAAATAAAAATTAATATTACTTTGAATCTCGTGATTTTTGGACATTTGGAGGTTGGCAATATTGGAGATGTTAGCGGGTGTAAATCAGTGGAGCTCCACTGAAGTCAATACAGCTATGCCGCTTTCCATTAGCTGGGGACCCTGGCCCAATAAGTGGTAATTCAGGAGCAAACCTGGGTTCAAATGGAAGAAACTCTTTAGGTCCATTGGAAAACATCACTGCGGAGACAGGCCAGGAGGCCTTGGCATTGACATAGGGAAATAACTCAAGCTATTGCTGGGGTCCGTTACGGGGCTGGAGTACTGAAAGCATCTGGAGGAACGTAAACAGAACGGGACAGATCCTCAGCAAATAGAAATCGGCGTCGCTCCATGGACTTCTGGCTATGTCTGTCCACTGAACTCAGTGTCAATGTGAATCAGGCGCTTTGTTTTCCCCCTCAAAAGCTCTTCCTCTGGTGCCTTTACATGGCAATGGCAGCATAAAGGGATCTCAAACAGGGGTGGAAGTTATATTTACACTCACTCTAAGGCTGCTTTACAATGCCAGAGTGGTGGGGAGGAGCCGTGGTGTGAATGTGACTGAGGCCCAAAGCTCCCCACGTTTGTTTTTTTCCTAATTAAATGTGTTGTTTGTCCTTGCACAAGACATCTGCCATTTCCCCCTCACTGTAACACCATGGAGTGGCTAAACTATAATAATAATAATAATGTATTACTGTGGCAGCTGGGAACCCTAGTCACGAACGGGGACCCCAGTGCGCTGTGCAAACACGGAACAAAAACAGAGGGCCCCTGCCCCAAAGAGACAGGAGACAGCTGGATACAGACAGACCAGGGAGGACAAGCGAACAAGGCGACTGTACTGGTCAGCAGGACAAACCGCAGTCTCTGAATGAGGGTTATTTACCAACACTCAGTGCTGAGGCAGGACATGGCCTCCCAAACATCCCCCTACTGCTTGGCTGGCTGTAGCAGCAGGAGAGGAGCCTGCAAACTGTTGGTGGGTCTTGGGAGATGGTTTGAAAACTGCCGACCTGCAGCCCACACGGGCATCCTGTTGTAGGGTAGAGGAGGAATGCGCTTTTCGGTTACATCTCATGGCCGTTTTCTTCACTGTCACTGAACTATTTATCTTCTCTTTTAAGCACCACCACATGGGTCCCAATCTGCCATTATCGCTGGAATTTTAGGTTTCTTTCTTGTCATCCTCTTTGTCATCATTGCTCTGTGGTTGGTGCGCACACACAAGCGCAAAAGAGGTAAGTTTCTTCACTGGGGTGGAATAACAACAGCTTCTGTAGCACAATAGGTGTCAATCATTGCAATGTCGGGCTGGAAGGGGCCTCAAGAGGTCACCTCGTCCCGCCCCCTGCACTGAGGCAGGACCATGATGCTTTGCAAGGCAAAGGCCCCTGCCCTTCGGAGCTGACGCGGTACAAAGGCTGGACTGTGACTGCAAAGCCCCAGCCCCGATAGGAGCACACTGCGCTAGGAGGCGTTTCGATTGAGGCAGATGCAATGCTGCTAAAAAGGCCAGGGGAGGGGGCTAGTACAGATTGTAAAGCCCTCCCCCCCCCAGTGTAACTCCACTGGGCGCTGCAGACGAGGGGTGGCAGATTACCTTCTCATGCTCTTTGGGGAGAATAACTCTCCTGCTGGACGTAGGCTGGAGCAGCCTGTGACGACTTTCGCTGTAGAGAAGAGGCAGGGCTGGGCTGGGCTCTGAGGAATACAAACAGAATCTTTATCAAGGCTGCTGGACAAAGACGGACTCCGTGGTCCTCTCTGGCTCCCCAGCTCCCAATCCATGCTACCTAGAGCCGCTGCAGTGGGCCCTGACTGTCAGGTGCTGTTTCCTGGAGCAAGGACCAAGGTGGTTTTCTGCTACCTTTCTGCTCCCCACGTTCCCCTGCTGTAAGTTAGAGCAGCCCCGAGGCTGGTCTAATTATGCTCTGCTCCCTGGTGCTCCCGATGGCCCTGGGTTGCTGAGACTAGCTGCAGCACAGCGCACTCCAGCCACACTCCTGACTTGTCCCCTACACCAGGTGCTGCGGCAGGGCAGGTGCAGAGCCCTTCTCCCAGCTCCAACACAGCCAGGGAGGTCCCCTGTGCAAGGGGGCTCTCAGGGGGCCATTTCCACCCACTTTCAGTGTGTAAGGCTCTCCCTAAGTCCCGGCCTGGACTCTGCAATCACGGAAGGAACTGCTGATTACCCTCTCCACCCCATCGGTGTGGGTCGCTGGGTTAGCTTGGGGTGGGGGGTCTGCAAAGAGCAGCAAAGAAGTCCCTGCCCCCAGGAGTGGAACAGCTGCCGCTGCAGCAGGGCTTTGCTTGGAGACTGTGCAGGATATCCGCATCCGAGCAGCAAGGCCCCTGCTCTGCTTCTCCCCACCACCTTCCCCTAGTGCGGGCGGAAGGGCCCTGGCTGGACAGGGAGGGTTCCAGGTGTGGAGAAGGTTGAAAGCCACAGAGGAAGCAATGACATTTTGCTCTTGGTTTGATCTGTGGTCTTCTAATGCACGTCCCCTTTTGTTTTTTTCCATAACAGCCTTGCAAAAGTACACTCCAGGACCTGCTGGCAGCGCAGGTAAGAGTCTCCTGTGTCCCACTGACCTCCTGGCCTGCACCTCCCCCCCGAAGTGCATTGTACTTCCCAAGTCTGATTTTCAGCCCCTTTCCCGTTTGGGGCAAACACGGACTCTGATTTTAAGGCCAGAAGGGACGTTACGATCGTGTGCTATTACTGTTGCCTCATGCAGCCCCCGGTATGAGGCACTGGGCAAAACCAGCCCGAGAAGAAGGTCCTTATCCAGAGGTGAAAGTGAGCCAGTATGGGCTGGTACTCCGTATCAGTAAGAACCGGCACCGGCCCATACCCAGCCCACGTTAAAGCACTTTAAAGTCCCTGCCCCTTTTACTTCCCCTGTCGGCGGCCCTGCTGGTCGGGTCTGTACCGGCAGGGCCACCGACGGGGAAGGGGCAGCCACGTTAAAGCGCTGCCGTGGCAAAGGACCCTGCAGCGCTTTAACGTCCCTGCCCCTTTGGGCGCCCCCCCCCCCAGCCGCCGACAGGCGGGAGGGGGCAAAGGGAGCAGCTGCCCTGGGGCCGGCGATTTAAAAGGCAACTGCAGCAGCGGCATCCGGAGCCCCGGGCCCTTTAAATCAACACGGGAGCCCCAGGTGGCGTGGGACAGGTGGCCTGGAAGGGCTGGCTGGGGGATGCTGACCCCCTAGCCCCGCCCCTTCTGCCCAATGCCCCGCCCCTTCAGGGGCCGGAGCCGCCACGCCCCGTACCGGTAAGTGTCCTCAGTTACTTTCACCCCTGTCATTATCCCCAACAAGCCAAGGATTCTGATCTCCTGCACAACACAGAATCTCACCCAGCGACTGCTGAGCTGAGCCTGAAGTAGAGCACAGTCATTGGCCAGCTGCAAAATTAACTTTGTAAATAACTCCAGCCAGAGAACACCACCGAACAGCCAAAGGGTTAATTCCTCCAGCTTCTCGGTAGCTGCATGGTGATCACAGGAGCTACCACAACATATGTAGGAGCAAACAGCTGGGATTGAATGTAGAGGGGAAGTTAACTGATATGAACGTAAGGTGGTTTGCTCCTTTCCCTTGGTCATTTGCTGCGTACTGTCTTTGTACTGTCTTTCACACAGCGCAAGGCGTTACTGTAATGTGCATTATTTCCATAAGATTTCCCCATCCAATCCCCGCACCTCAGCCTGACTCCCCTCAGCCACACTCCCATCCAGCTCCCTTAGCCTGGATACCCTCTGTAGGGTGACCAGACAGCAAGTGTGAAAAATTGGGACAGAAGGTGAGGGGTAATAGGAGTCTGTATAAGACAAAGCCCCAAATATCGGGACTGTCCCTATAAAATAGGGACATCTGGTCACCCTGACCCTCTAGTGCTGTGCTCCCCCACCCCCAGACCGTGTCTAACCGGGGGGGGGGGGTGCTAAGGGGTGCACAGTTTGTGTCTGTGGCATTGACCCCCCCCAGACCCTCCCTCCCCTTGCCAGCTGCTCCTCACACTGCCACCCCTCAGCTCCGCCCCCAGCTCCATCGGTCTCTCTCATTGGAGGAGATGAGGGCAAGGTTGCGAGCTGAGTGCCTGGTAGGGGAGGAGGAGGCGGGACAGTTATGCAGCCCCATCTACCTAGAAAATACAGTAGGTGGCCAAAAGCCAGAGATCTTAGTGCAGGGATTAGGCCAGAGGCCAAAGCCTGGTGCTGCGAATTAGGCTGGTTTGGTTGCACAGGACAGCCACGGGAAGGGTTGGGGTGTAGGTAGCAGTGAGGCAGGTGCCACTTTGTGTTTTTTCTCAGATGCAGAATGTCGCAGGGCCAACCACACACACTGGGCTCTCACTCCCTCTCCTGGCAACTTTACATTTGTTCTTCCTTTGTCTGTTGTTTTTGTTAAATCTGGAATAAAAGGCACCTGCGCATGAAAATACCTTTTACTCTCCACTTCCGGGAAGGACAAAGATGCGGCCGTGAGGATGGGACGGTAAAACGACAAGTAGCTCAGAGAAAGTGAAGGAGCGTGGGAGAGATTTCCGGGTTAAAGGGAAGACAAATAGAAAGGTGGAATGGACACTGACAGGAATATGGAACGGTTCCGGCTGAATGAAACAAAGGAAGTTTTGGAAGCATGGGACTTGTAACTTTGAACAGTATTTTAGTGCAAATGCAGCTGAAAGCAACAGCAAAAGATCCCACAAGAGCAAAGAAAATAGAAGAATGACATTGACAAGTTTAAAGACGGATGCAGAAGCTGGGGGAGATGGAACATAAGGAGGAACGGCACTGCTTCATAAGCAGCTGTCTCACTCCAGGAGAGTATCTGTATTCAGGAGAACACTGAAGCACTTGCGTAAGCCACAGTGCAGTTTATGGGACTTAAAGCTGGCTTTGATGGGCAGTGTTACCTAGTGGACAGTGCCCAGACTAGGACTCAGGAGACAAGGGTTCTAGTATCAGCTCTTCCACTAGCCTGCTGGGTGACCATGGAGGAGTCAGTTTCCCTGCTCATTGCCTCAGTTTCCCCTTACATAAAATGGGGATAACGACCTCCTTTGTAAAGCGCTTTGAGATCAACTGATGAAAAGCTCTAGACAAGAGGTAGATATTAATTACTATTAAAGCTAACCATGTGTCTAAGTGCTTCCCTGAATCGGAAAGACTAACCTCTCAAGCTGCAAAGTATAAATGTCCTTCTAAGAAACCAAACGGAAGGAGAAAAGATGCCGGGATTGTCGCCACTCAACAAATGCTTCCCATTACCTGGACTTTTGATAAATCATTTTGGAGTTGTCGTCATCAACACAACATGCAAGCTAGAGGAGAATTAGCCCGAGGGATTGTGCAGACTGGACATGTTACAAAATGAGCCATTGTGTTCTATTCGTCTTTCTCCCATGGAGACTTCATATTTGTTCTCTCTTTGTTGTTTTTCCTTAATCTGAAATAAAGGCTACATACATGGAGAAGTACCTGGTTTGCTCTTTGTGGTTGGAGATGTCTTAACGTGGATATCCAAGCCCTCTACGGCAGCGGTGGGTGGGATCTGGCAGATCCCTGATACCTCTGCTACTTTGGTTTAGTTTTAAGGCTGTGTGGTTTTAAGCTTAGTTTTAAGTTTTAGTGGTTGTATCAGAGCGCTGGGAGCAATTTCTCAAATCTTGATTGTAAAAAATTCACAAATTTTGAATTTTCACCCCCCCTTCCTCTCCCCCCCCCAAAATATTTTGGGTTTTTTTACATTTTCCCTGTTTTGAAGCAAGTGTAGAACTGGTTGCAAATTTTCAAGTTTCTAAAAAAGTGTCGAGCTTCTAAAGAATTTTTAATTTCAACAAAAACAGGGGGAAGAATTGAAGAAATATAAGTATTTTCCCCTCTTTAACCCCCTTCCCCCCCACTATTGTTTTGGGCTATTAGATTACTAATTTAAAAAGTCTTTTCTTTTACTGAAAGTAAAAGCTCCACAGACAACTAGTCACCTGCTATTTATTTATTCTTTGAACAGTTACTTAGTACTTTTCATCCCTAGGTATCCCAAAGTGCCTTACAAAATGATTGATAAAGTTTATGGAGATTTTTGTCATCCATCATTGTAATGCAGCCACCTCTGAGGGGGAACATGGCAGCTGTTTAATACTGCATAGCAACACTGCTACAGTTACCAGGGTTAGAGTTTGGCCTGGTTCTAAGGTGAACCCCCCTGGTCATTCACAAAGTGCCCAGGGATCTTTAACGACTCATAGACTCATAGACTTTAAGGTCAGAAGGGACCATTATGATCATCTAGTCTGACCTCCTGCACAACGCAGGCCACAGAATCTCACCCACCCAAATCCCTAACCTATGCCTGAGTTACTGAAGTCCTCAAATCGTGGTTTAAAGACCTCAAGGTGCAGAGAATCCTCCAGCAAGTGACCCATGCCCCACGCTGCAGAGGAAGGCGAAAACCCCCCAGGGCCTCTGCCAATCTGCCCTGGAGGAAAATTCCTTCCTGACCCCGAATATGGCGATCAGTTAAACCCTGAGCATGTGGGCAAGACTCACCAG